TAGATGTGGATAAATGAAAATATATTTCTTTGTTGTATATTCTAGGATGTGTCCAAACCATATCAATTATCGGTCCTGTCTTTGGGTATCTGCTGGGGTCTCTGTGTGCCAAGATCTATGTTGACATTGGCTATGTTGACTTGGGTAAGTAATCTGACTGATAACCATGACTGATGCAATGACAATGTTAAGATTTGTAAACTGTTGTTGTGGATTATCATTTGTTCACGCTGCAGAAATGCACTCACACTTCTCTGTTAAGAATTGGATTGAGAAATAGGTTGCTGTACATGGGGATGCTAGAGCTGTGCCAGACACAACACACCTGCCAAGTGGAAATTATTTAGAGCAGAGTAAATCCTGTCATACAGTTAATTCTGACTGGGAAACGCATTAAAGCTGTTGTAAACACAATTAGATCAGAAATCTTTATTAATCCCCAATACGGAAAATATTTTGGTTCCAAATCAACTCATACATACAATAATACATTTACAGTTAATAACAAATACATGGACACAATGAAAAAATGGCAGTTAAAGTCAGGTAACATCACCTGCTGTTTAGAAATGTTGACTTTGAACATTATAAGTGTATGTAAGGCATTTTAAAAATGTATACATTCTGCTTTTTAAATATATAATATATGTAAAATAATAATAATAAAACAGGACTAAAATTCATGTCGCAATAAAGTCCCATGACATATTTCCATTTCAGTCCTGAAGTATTAAAAAGGAGTAGGCAGGCAGGAGTGCGGCTGACACGCATAAAGCAAACTACATTTCATGATGAACATATGTGCTAACAGGAGTCTTGTCTTTTCAGAGACGCTGACCATTACCCCTGGTGATGCCCGCTGGGTGGGTGCATGGTGGCTGGGCTACCTTATCGCTGGGACCATCACCCTCATGTCTGCAGTTCCTTTCTGGTTCCTGCCTAAATCACTGCCCATGCCCGTGGATAAACACGATAGCAGCTGCACCCCCGAGCAAACCAGGTTTATCAAAGATTCCCCAACCATGGAGCACAAGTTCAGACCTGAGGAGCCGGCTAATCTACACCAGATGGCCAAAGGTATGATTATAGTCACACCAAGTTAAAATGATGTACATTTTGAATGTGAGTAGTGGCATCATAATCTGTATGCAGTCTGGTAAATCTTAAAGGTTGTCGAAAAAAGTGCTATCACGAGTCCCTCTTTCTACTATGCAAGCTGATTTTTTCTTTTCTTCCTATGAATTTTCTATTTTCCTTATACCCATTAACAAAATACTATTCAAATAAACTTACAGTCTGTTATTTTCAACATATTGTAATTAAATATATAACATGTAAATTATTAAAAGGTTTAGAAAAGCATCAAAAATCTTAGCTGTAAGTAAATCAAAGCCTATTTTTAAGTGGTTTCCATAAACTTCCCCACACAGAATTTGTGCCCACATTGAAGAGCCTCCTTGGAAATCCTGTGTATGTCACTTTTTTATGCGTGACCATCATTCAGTTCAACTCTCTCATCGGGATGGTCACCTACAAACCCAAATACATCGAGCAACACTACGGCCAGTCAGCATCAAAAGCCAATTTCCTCATGGGTAAGCAGACTGTTTATTACCAATGTTTAAAAAGATGTTTTGTCTGTCCGTCTGGTCATTTCATCTTGGTAGATGGGCCTGTGTTGCTTCACTGTAAGACAAGTATTTAAGGAATGCAAAGAAATGAGAGCTGTATGATTATCATAATGGTTTCATGAGCCAGTGTTTGATGCATTTTGTATGTGCTGACTCCCACATCCCTCTCAAGTAAACACTGCAGCTTCTAAATGACAGCCAGGTTTAATGAAACCATTGGACATTGTGTACTTCCGTTTATTGGCATTCATTTAAAAAAACACTTTTTTCTTAATAAGACTCATTAATTAGTCAACCCACATAACAGCATAAGTAAAGTTAGACGAGTAGAAATGCATTTTTTTTCCTCCAATATCTAAAGTCATTTTCATGTTTCATGCCATGACTTCAATACACTTTGCATTATATATGAATGAGACTACTACTATCATATGAATAAGTGCTCTGACTTTGATTTCTTTTAGGGAGCAATGTTGCTGCCTGGTACTGCTAGTTCATGTTATATCCTCCTCCTCTGTTCCTTTAAGAATCTATTATATTCTGTGGTTTGTGTAGGCATGATTAACATCCCGGCTGTGGCCCTTGGGATGTTCTCTGGAGGGGTTGTCATGAAGAAGTACAAGCTGGGTATCATGGGAGCAGCTAAATTTGCCTTTGGGACCTCCCTGCTGGGTTTCTTCCTGTCGCTCTTCTTCTTCGCCATGGGCTGTGAGAACTCCAAGGTGGCAGGCGTCACAGTCTCATATACCGGGTACAGTATGTGAAGTCTGGATACACTTCCTCATGTCTTAGTGGAATATGTAACATCAGAGGAAGGAGCTACAGTGGGTTTGAGTTTGGGGAAATTCTAAAATGATTCAGTACAGCCAAAACTCTCTTTCGTGTTTTGTTGCCTTTCTTTGCCTTTATTTTCATACTCCTTGTTGTAGCTTCATATTTGATGAATTTTTCACATGAGCTGTCAATAATATATGCATGTTCTTCATGTTGTCCCATGCAGAGTCGAAGGCTTGTCTTATCAGGAACAGTCTCTTTTCTCCGAATGTAATTCGGGCTGCTTGTGCTCCAGAAGGGATTGGGATCCAGTGTGCGGAGAGAACGGGATCACCTACGTGTCCCCTTGTTTGGCCGGATGCTCCTCGTCCACTGGCTCCGGCAAATATACGGTTGGACATCCACCACTGATTTCATGTCACATCCAGATTTCCCAGTATAATTTATTAACAAATTGAGCTCAATATTTTGGCTTAATTGCAACATTTTATTCATCTCATACCCATTTTCCCTGATGCCTACGGATTAACAAATGACATTTCAGATGTATTTGCGCTACTTTTCCCTTAAAAGTGTGTCATCTATCATTCATTAACTTTTCTTGTTTAGGTGTTTGCGAATTGCAGTTGTGTAGCACTGCCTGACACCCAACAAGTCAACCTGACGGCCTCTCTGGGACAGTGTCCACGCAGTGACAGCTGTGACAAAGTCTTTCCTTACTTCCTGGCCCTGTCAGTCCTCAGCTCCTTCATCATCTCTCTGGGAGGAACACCAGGCTTCATGCTGCTCGTCAGGTTCGTCTTCAAACCCCTTGTGGAATCATTAGACTCAATCCACATACAGCAATACGTTGGAGAAACACCTCATCTTGTCTTTCTTACATCTCCAATTGATTGAAACTTGAATACGATACAGTCTCTGTCAATGGAGATATTTCACAAATAAAATGAAAAGTCAGGAATTAGAAGTTTGCATGAAAGCATTTTGTAATGCTATTTCTTAGCGTTTTTTTATGTCTTCTCATAAAAAAAGTGTACCTCATTGTTCTTATTGAAGTGTTATAAGGTATACAAGTTGAGTTTCCTTTTAACCGCCTCATTATTGTCTCTATAGGTGTATTAGGCCTGAGCTGAAATGCTTTGCTCTTGGAATCCACTCGTTGGCCACTCGTACCTTCGGTGAGAAGCTTTTTGGTATTCTGTACATTACTGTCTGTGCAAATGTCAAATAAACAGAAATCTCCTAAGAGCTGACATTCAGAAGCAGATGGACTAATGTGTGTGTATAGAAACAAAATATTTTAAAGATCATTTTCTGTCACCAAGTGTTTTAGGCACATATTTTCCATTAAAAAGCTTTATATTAACCCTTATTATAACCAATACAATAAGTATGTTTAGTCATTTTATAATGTCACAAATGATATCTCACTTCGAAGCAACCCTTTATGTGTTCTTTGTTTGAAGTAACAACATATTTTGAATTTCAAAACAGCTGGAATACCTGCCCCGATATACTTTGGAGCCATAATCGACACAACCTGCCTCAAATGGGGGAATAAGATGTGTGGAGGAAGAGGAGCGTGCAGAATATATAACACCTCAGCTTACAGGTACATTTATTAGTAGAACTTTATTCAAACGCTTTATGGAATATCCAATCGAATATCTTGTACAGAGATCACTTTCAAACAAGACAAAACATCTATGACCAAGGCAGCTGTCCTGTTAGGCTGCAATGCTTATTTAAAAAGTATTAGATAGATGAAATATAAGGTGTTATTGTTGCTATTGTTAATACCCTTACCACTAGTGATTCAAAAATAATAGTTTAACCCATATTTTGCCAATTGCTGATTGTCCTCTTGCTGTATTGCTTCCTTTTTTTGCAGGACACTGTACCTGGGCCTGACTCTGGGCTTACGGACAGCCTCCTTCTTCCTATGTTATCCAGGCTTTGCTCTACTTAAAAGACACATTAAGATGGAGGAGAAAAATGCTCTGACCAATGGCAGTGCAGAGTTGGAGTCTTTAAGAAAAGAGGAGAACAGCTCCAAACACTGTGAGCAGTTTATACCGGCCTCGGACTGCATTCCTGACCGAGAGACTCGCTTGTGATGAACAGAGGAAAACACTCTTTTCATAGCACACAGAGTATATATTTGTACAGGATTTGTTAGACAATGAGTCATCTTAAGAATGTAATTGTGCTGTATTTTTATGTTGGTCCTCGTTTTTTTGATTAAACTTGATAACATAGATTTTTGGATTCATGATGTATTATGGTGCCTGAATAAGTTAAACGCTGTCATGTGACTTGTGGCTTTGCTTTTAGCTCAGAAGAGATATGTTATTGAACACGTTTGTATACTTTTACAGCTGTTGATATTGCTACACCCAGGCTAAGACAATATTTTCTGTGAACAAATAGGCTCAATAAGCAGATCAGAGCAAGAGCAGCACAGAAACAGCTGCCCTCTGCCCTCTCTCTTACATGTAATCCTTGTTGGTGTCAAGGTGGTACTTGCCTCTTTAAAAAAAGAAACAAGTAATGTCATCATTGATCTCGGCATGACAAGACGCATGACAATTGTTGCAGGTTTTATGTGTTTATTTGTGTGTCATATACAGGACCAAATTGTCAACAAATTACAAAATGTCAAGAGAAGCCAGAACAGCAATCTTTATTAATAGTATATTAAAGGTATTATGGCTTGAAGATAGATCTACCATTCCAAAATGCTCAGTAATATTCAAAGGCACATTATTCAAAAATATTTGAACCTCTTTTAAAACAAGTTAGTGCTCTCCTCCCTTTACACATTTCAGAATGCATAGCAATTCATAAACCGGTTCACGATCTCTCTGCAGTGACACAAAGTTAAGCATAATAGCATAATATATTTCTTGGATGTTAACTGTTTCAGTCATAATCCAACGTTAGCATGGGTCCCTGAGACAACATTTCAACTAATTTGTACACTTCTAATTCTAAGTTACATGCAAAGCAACAAAAACATATTTAACACTCTGCATATAACACACAGTTTTAATGTGATGAGAAGAAAAGGTATCCCTGTACAGAGGAGAAACCTGACAACAATAGTCTCTGTGTTCATGTGGTTACAGATCCTTTTTATCTCCACTCTTGACATTCTGTGGATCAAGCAGAGGATTAAAAACAGAATGTTTCCAGTATTACGGGGGTTAATATACAGTTCGCTTTTTAATCTACATGCACACATGAAGTAGAGCTGTGTGTGACTTTTTTACCTGGAGTTGATGGTGTTCAGTCAACAGTCGGTCATACTCTTGTGCCAGACCTTTAGCCTGCCTCTTTATGGCCTCCACTTCAGCATAAGATTTACGCACAGCTACACACACAAACAGCACTACATCTATGAAATGCTCTGTATATCTCCAATGCCCCTAGAATGGGCTTCTTTTATAATACTACAGCTTATGTAAGATCAGTGATGGTCCATGATCTGTGAATGTTTAAAAGTGTCATAGTGCATAATCCTTACTATAAGAACAGTTATTTGGTTTTGAAAAGTATCACTCATGATCATACTATATAAAAGAGGTGATGCTTACTTACCTTCCTCAGAAGTCTTCACTTGATCTGCCAGCTTCTCACTGTCCAGCTTCAGTACCTGGTTTTTTGCTGACATGGCTTTTTCCTCATTTAGGAGAGCCTGAGAAAACAAATATTTATCTTTAATTACCAACAGAAGGCCACAGAGCTCCAAATGACAAATCACAGAAATAGTTCTCTATGACAAATACTGTATGAATTCATGCCTACACATTTTAAAAGGTGGACATGAGTCAATAATGCACATTTAGGTTACATTGAAGGTACCCTGCAATAGATATTACACATTTCTGGAATAGAATGAAAGTAACACACTTTAAAACTATAACAAGTTTTAGTTCTGTCTTCAGACTCAGATTAATTCTCACTTGCTTAAGCTTCAGGTTGTCATCCTGATGCTGCTTTGCTACTTTGACAGCACTGTCCATCTGTGCCTGAAGACCTGCACTGTTCTCCACGGTGACAGCAACCTGGTTCAGCAAGGTGACAGTCCTGCGCATGATACTGTGATGAAGGACAGAAAAAAAGGCAGGGCAAGACAGGATATCAGAAAGAGAAGTGGACAGGAGGTCCCAAACACATTCTGTTAAAAGATGTATAAGATAATGACACTAACAGCCAGAGGAAGAGAGAGAAGCCAGATATGTAGAGGTTCCTCTGCGCTCTGAACAGCTTCATGTGGACGTTGTCGAACAAATTTGGGTTAATCTTGACATCGTGCATGGGCTCAGCACCTGAATACTTCTGCACCTCCCGGACAGCGTCTGAGTGGGCAGGGGGACAGAAGCATGATGATGTTGGCTCTGCTGGACTGACAACATGCTGTCAGTCCACTCAGTGTCATTCACTGTCTGTCACTCAGTCACAGCAAGGCACTTACCAAGGAAAAGAACAATAAGAACCATGATCATGGTAAAAAAGCATTTGTTCCTATACGGAGTTAACCAGTTCCATATTCTCCAGCTGAAAACAGAACGCCATCTGCAAAATAAGTAAAAAGGACATGTGAGTGAAACATAATAGATCTTCCCAGAAAGGACATGCATGCACTCTGCTGGTGGTTTGTGTGAAGTGTCTATTTCATGTTTGTTATTTTACAATCAGCTCTTGCAAAGGGCTCGTTTTGTATTGCCTTATTTATTCAGACAATCATCCTCTGCACCGAAAGCTAGGCATGAGTTTCTGAATGAACTTTTGATTTATATTTTGGGTTTTTCTTTGTTTTGTAGTACCTGCGTGCTGATATGAAGGGTATACACAAGATGAGGTTCAATGCTATCTCTGCATAGAGGAAGAAAGCCACGGCCGTCCACTGGAGCGTCATTGTGACTGTGATTTCCTGAGGAGATTAATTAAATCCATGTATAGAATGACTAGACCTGGACTGTAATATACAACTATAACTGTGAGAGATATCATACTATTCTCCATTCAATAATAACAAGTACATTAATACTAATAACACAGTTTTTACTTTACTCTACATTTCATTTAGCTGAAGCTTTTATCCAAAGTGATTTACAGTAAGTGCTGTCCACCATGAAGAAACAAGCTCAACAAGTAAGAATCCTGCAGGTATATTAGCCTTCAAAACGCCATACTAATGTGGCTAAGTGCTCTGGCTTCAAAGGCCAAAGATTTCCCCAAACAAGTGCTGTGGACGTCCATACACACACAAAATGTTTCTAGGCCTACAATATAAAACAGGCAATCTGGGGCAGGCATTCAGTCCATTTGCTATTTATAGGCTTTTACTTTGAAATATATTCTAGCTCCTTATTTTTGTTTAAAAGCAAAGGAGGTCAATCTATTCAAAGCAATAAACAGAGTTGCTGGCTTACCAGACCAAGTTGCACGTTCAGAAGAATGGGAAAGTGAAGACACGCATGCGCTGACACACGTTCACAACAGCTGCTGGTGAGCATCTAAGGGGCTGCAGATCTAAATAAATCTCTGCTGGCTGAGTTGACATCATTTGTCAGCCCCTTTGGGTTTGTTAAAAATTACAAGCTGACCTACCAACCTAACTGCAAGCTTTATTTTTATTCTACAGAAAGTGCAAGGTTTTTTCTTTTTGTATTCCTTGTGTGTGAGCATCTTTGCTGATAGCTTCTCACATTTCATGTCATGGTATAAAAATAGCCATGTGACGAAAGGACACTCAGTCAATTTATTTTATAATAACTAAGCCTTGTTGTTGATTAATTATCCTAAAGCATTTTAAACAAGCATACTTAGTATTTTTAATATCTATGGAAATTATAACTATTTCAGGCCATTTTCTACAGAGAAAACCAAACAATGGTCCACAAGGGGGCGATGTTATCTAATTACTTAATATTGCTTTTGCACAGGGGACAGGAAGTCGTGTACCGTATGTATTGCAGTTATTGCAGTGAATTCAATCCAAGTATTCCCTTTGCCAAGGAGATATACAGACAGCCGACAGTGTGGAGAAAGGGTTTAGTTTACACACCAGCTGAATATAAATAGGTGTCACCGAAATAGCAGATAAAGACTCATTTCAAAAGCTCATTCAATACAAATCGACTTGAAAGGATTCCTCTTTTTGTGTATTTCTGCACCCTTTAAAAAGGAACACAAACAGCTTTTGACTTGCTCATCTAGTTTATACGCATATCAATTGCATGGGTGTGTTGCTCATCAACAACTGAGACTGAGGGAAATTCTGGAGCACAGCTCTCTTCTTTCATTTGAATAATGAGTTTTCTTTTCACCAAATTCAACTCCAATGACTATTCAGTGTATTTCCCCCCACTCCACTGCATTCGGCTTGCAGAGTGTATTCACAGGCTTCCTATGTGGAAGAGACTGATAGCTGCTATCCTCTTTGACTGCATGTCTCAGGAGTGCTGAGGAGCAAAATGTTTACAGCTGCACCCAGTGATAGCTTTTTGAGAGTGGCCAAATGACTGTAGCAGAACTGAATGTGCTTTGATTGCTCTCCTCTCCTCACCATTTCAGAGGTCGCAGCTCAGGAGACTGAAGAGTCATTACAGCAAAATGCCTGCAATAAACAGATGGCCAGGCATACAGTGATGGTGTGCTTGGTGGATAGTTTTAACCTGAGAACTCCATCCATTTTATGTATTGTCAGTTCAGATCAAACCACTGTCTGCTTTGTGATCTCAGGACATGTTACCACGTGCTAAAATATAAGCCCTATAAATTATAATGTGGGTTACATGGGGTCTGCACACTGCTGTTTGTGCCCAGAAAAAGCCTCCACAAAAAAGTGTCCATCAACTTTTGTCATATCAAAGATCCTCACCGTGTCTCTCAGGGGTAGCACAGATTCCAACCCTGCAGGATAAATTCAATTCAACAGCTTTTATCCTGAATCTCATCATTCCAGTCACTTCGCAAACTTGCGACCATAGCTAAAGGTTGGACAGTAAATCGACTTCTAAATTGAGAGCTTTGCCTTCAGGCTCAGGTGCTTTTGTTGTCGCTATAATGGCTCGGCATCCAACACCTTTATGCAATTTGGCAACCCTTTTTGCCTGTCCCTGCTTGAATGCTAAACACAGACACACACGGGTTAGGACAATCATGAACTCCTTATTGGTCACAAATGTTGCCAAGGGTGGACTACCTGCTGGGTCATTATGAGCAAATAAGTTTCAAAAAGACTTCCTATTTTGTTCACTTACCAAAACTACTGACAAAAGTTCCTCAATAGTGCACTCTCCCGCCTACACTTCAGACAAAGTCCGTTTTTTCTCACCTTTACAGAAAATGCTTGAGCACAGTGTCCCCTCATGAGACATCTATGACCACCTAGAGCTTTTTTGCTTCTGCAATTGCAGAGTTTGAAGTTGTTTTCTGGCTTGTTGGTACCTGCACACTCAGCTGGAGGCTTGTGAGTAAGACTTGGAAAGAGAACAAACATACTGCACAAAAAGCAAAATTCAAGTACACTGCTCACACAGAGATAATGAAACCATACACACAGAAGGAGAGTCAGACAAGGACACAATTCTCACACACAGGGAGAACAATGAAGAGGTGAGAGTGAGTCTACTGGAGGAAGAAGATTCAAATACTAAATGTCTGGATGATCCCAAATATCTGGAATGAGGCAACAAAACCAAAGAGGGATTGGTTTAACCATAGACCATAGAGTTTATAACATTTTCGACATTTGCCCTTATTTTTTTATTTCATTTTCTCTTAGCCTATTGTTTTTTTGCCAGCACCATTACGGCAAAGTAAAGGCCTTGGTTGTGAAAAATCAACTTGGCAATAAATCAAATTCTGAATCTGAATTCTGACTAATAGACTAATTCTGACTAATACATTGGTGATGTAGCTAACTTTATATTTAGTCTTTAGGAAGAGTCAGAGGATTTTATTTCCTTGACTGGCCTCTTTGCCCGCAGCACATGTCTAACTCAACTAATAGCCACAGAAACACTTAAACTGATTTATTCATGATACAAGAGTTAAAAAGCAGCTGTGGCCTTAATCTACACAAGCACTGTAATTCCCTTTATTGACTATTGGTGGCGCATTTGTAGAAGTGCACACCAGGTGTGTGAAGATATCAGGTGAAGTTGGGCTGGATCCTCATGCATGCTGCAGCCAAATCGTAAGCTTTGGATTCTGGAACTTCTCTTCAACAGAATACCTGTGCTGCATCTTCTCTGGGAGAACTGAGATCCCAAAACACAAGGGTTATCAGGATCAAGGACGCACCCATGCAGGTGAGTGTTTTTTTAGCTAGCTGTTTGGCTAACTGTAGTTTTGGTTGGCTGCTTGCTTAACGTTGAATAGTCTTGCTTTTCAGCATATATTTGTTGTCAAGTGTGTTTGTAGAAACGCAAAGTTCTGTCTGCAATTGGAGTTCTCATTCATAACACTCCGTTCGATGTCTCACTATGGGATGCGCCTCATCGCGGAGCAAACGGAAGCATCAATCTCATTACGCCAATCCTGATTGGCTGGAGATCTTGACGTCAGCGTCAGGGAAATCACCCCCTATAAGTAGCTTGCGCCACAACGCATGCGCCATTCAAACACCTCTTCTCGCTTCAGAGCACATTTCTATGGTAGCCGGACAAGCTTCACGGTCCACAGACTGAACCCAAACCTCCATTTCGGTCGACGGGCGCTTGCCGGCTACTCCTTCTGCTTCGCAGGAAGACGGTAATTACTAACGCTAGGTATTGTTGAAATCGACCTCGCCGCTCTCTTTCCCCGGAAAGTAAGCTAGGTCTGATTTTTTCAAGCTAGCGTTAGCTTGCTCCCTCACTACCGACGCCACGGTAGCGAGGAAGTCTTTTCTTTTCTCTTCCCCACGGAGGAGGAAAGGATTAAAATGAGCATACTGCCACACCAGTCAGTATTCTCCGGGAATAAAAGACCCACACCGTCCTTTTCTCCGGATTAAGGACAGGGTGGTAACACCTTTTTTTTTTCTCCCAACTTACCTGTTGAGAGCGGGTCCTCTCCACGCCACGAGGCGAACAAGATGGACGCCTCTCTCCCTCACACCAGAGGAGTCAGGGACTCGGTGGCTCGACTCTGCGGCTGCGGGTTGAAGATCTCGGGCACAGACACACACCAGGTCTGCTCGTCCTGCCTCGGGCTGGAACACGCCTGAGGCGCTATCGACAACCCCAGCTCGTGCGGACATTGTGTCCGCTTCACCGTAAAGAGCCTCCGCCGACGGCTAGCATGCCAAGCTAGCCTGTCGGAGCAGGAACCCCCCATGTCCTCTGACCTGCCGGCCGGCAGTCAAGACGCGGGGACATCTGCCACAGAGAGTGAACCCCTCTCCATGTCGGTCTGGGGCTCAGTATCTGAGATGGCCGCAGAACCGGATTCCCGCGCCCTGGCAGGCCGGGACCCGGTGGCGGCAAGACACGCGGGAACGGGACCCCACGCTTTACCGAGCTGGGGCTCTCAGTTAGACCTCACCATGGTCTCACCCGCGGAGGATATCCTCGACGAGGACGAAGAGGACGCCTCGGTGTTCCTCCTGTCCGAGTCGGATGAACATGAAGAGGACATCTTCATGTCATCGGCTCAGGCTGCAAAGCCTGGAGCGAGGGCTGCTCTCCCAGACAATAGCACACCAGCTTCGCCCTGTCTGAGTATGGACCTGCAGGCCGTGTGCAAACGCGCTGCGGCCAGACTCGACATCCCGTGGCCTGAAATGGCCAAGGAGACCTCCAGGTCCTGCTACGAAGGGAAACATTTTCCCCAAGCAGCGCGGACAAAGAGGCAACTCCTTCCGGTCTTCCCGGAGATGTTGGATGAGGTGTCGGTCTCGTGGAGAGACCGGCCCTTCAGCAACAAGGGTCCCAATCCAGGGTGCCTCCTCCCTAGACTGTGACGGAATGGAGAAGCTCGGCCTGCTCCGCATGCCGCCCATGGAACCGCTGGTAGCAGCCCACCTCCTACCGAGGATAGGCCCGTCACCAAGCAGGAACCCCACGCTGCCGGCAAAGTCGGACCGATTTCAGTCGACAATGACTGAACGGTCCTACAAAGCCGCAGCGTTGTCCGCCAGGGCCCTGAATGTGGCCTCGCTGATAACCGCTTACCAAGCGGAGCTCTGCGAGGACCTGTCGGGTAACCCGGGGGCAGCCACTCTGGACGAGATGGCAGCGGTCACAGACATCTGTCTCCATGTCCAACGCTGCGCCGTCCAGGCCACAGGTAAGGCAATGGGGATCATGGTGGTGCAGGAAAGAGCGAGATGGCTCAACCTCACCAACCTCCCAGACCGGGAAAAGGAGGATGTGCTGGATATGCCCATCGTTCCCGAGGGAATTTTCGGCTCCGCTCTTGCTTCCATGCAAAAGAGGTGTGAGTCGAAAAAGAGGGAGGACGAGGCACTCCACCTCTGCCTCCCTCG